TGGAAAGGTCCATTAAGCGAGGCCTTTTCCATCGTGTTTGGATTTCTGTACCCTGCGCACATCATAGAACCCTTTCACAAAGTGAGAAGGGGAGAGAGTCAAGGAAAAGTCCAAGGTGCTTACTTTGCCCAAGGGATGTGGGAATTTTTCTGCACCAACCCCGCTCCAGCAGCAGTGAGATTCTGAACCTTTTCCTGTTTGCTGTGTGCCACCAGAAGCCCCCCAGCCACAGCAGCTCAAGACCCACTACCATTTTCCTCAGCAAGGTGCTGAAAAGAAGCTGGATATGGGGGAGGGAAGCCAGCAGCTAGACTCTTCCGATGGTACATCTCCCTTTCTTCCTTTTTCCTACTTGCCACAGATTGAAATTGCCCAGAAGCTTCCTGACATCTACGCGGTCCCAATCAAAACACACAAGCCGGATCCCGGCCCGGCCCAGCACACCAGGTAAGGAAGGGCTACCTGGTGACATAGGTTTGAAGCTTCCATTAGGACCCAGGGGGCTTCTCTGGGACTTGAACTCCTTTTTTTTTGTTTCATCGTGGTAGAACTAGGTCTCACCAAACCACTCATTGCCAAGCCAACATCCTCTGCATGTACACTTCAGCGACCTTGGGTTATGATCATGATGTTGCAGCCATCAGTACTCTCCATTTCCAAACCATTGCCCAACTAACTCTTAAGAGAAATGCAGTACCTCCTAAGCAAAGGCTTCCCCAAGCCTTCTAACCACCAGTCGTATCTGGTCTCCACACATTTCCTGTTAAGCGAGGTCGCACAGCAGTTGTCCTTTTATGTCGGACTGAGTGCACTCGGTCGGCATAATGTTTTCGGGATGCTGCCGGGTCGTAGCATGTGTTGGAGCTTCAATGCTTTTGATGGCTGTGTAATATTCCATTGGATGGATCCCCCCCCCCCCTTGGGGTCCATGCATCTGTTGATGCAGATTTGGGCTGGTCCCACTTTTTAGCTACGATGAATAGTACTGCATTAGTCATGGGTATACAGGGGGGCACTTGGAGTCTTAAGAGAGAATCTCCTTCGTCTAGATCTCAGAGCAACAAGAGGGTTGCTTCCTCCGTGTCCCCTGTCAGCTGTTCAAGGACCCTCTGTGGCGCTGTGGGTTACGCATTGGCTGCTAACCATGGAGTTGACTGTTCAAACCCACCAGCCACTCCATAGGGTAAAAATGAAACAGTCTTTTCTCATAAAGCTTTCCAGTCTCAGAAACCCTATACGGAGTCGCTCAGAGTCAGAATCGACTCATGGTACTGGGTTTGGGTTTGAGTTTGGTCAACTGTTCACCTCACTGATTAAGTCAGTTAACAATAAAGATGACAAAGAATAAAAAAAAAATCATGGACATTTTGCTTAGGTGCTAAACTTCTCTGATAGAGCATGATCATTGTCATTTCAAGTCTGTAGTACTCTGACCCATTGGAGCACCAGAACCCAAACCCAAGCCCACTGCCATCGAGTAGATTCCAACAGACAGGGACCATACATATATTGGGTTTCTGAGACCTTGCAAATCTTTACAGGAGCAGACAGCCTCGCGTTTCTCCCTCGGAGTGGCTGGTGGGTTTGAACGGCCCATCTTGTGGTTAGCAGTCAGTCCAGTGTTTACTTGACAGCGCCACCGGGGCCCCTCATCGGAGCACCATGGTATTCATTACCTGTGTGAGAACGGCAGAGAAGCAGACTGCTGGGCCTTAGACCTGTTTTATGACTAATGTGCTCTGGCCCTTAGCCCGGCTCTGCAGGTCCTTCACATCACCTGGCAAAGTCAAGATGCTTCGGCCAGATGGTGATAGCGAGAGATTTGTGCCTGGTGTTGGCAAAAGGCTCTCTCCTTTACGGTGCTATAGAAGTGCTAGGAATCACCCCAGTGTCTTCAGGTTGGGGTTTTACACTGGCCCGTTCCTCCTTGCTTCCGTGAGTGAGAAAAATAAATCACCTTCTCTTGCATCCATCCTGACTAAAGTCTCAAACCTACTGCCATCGAGTGGAGTCCAACTCATAGCAACCCTGTAGCACAGGGTAGAACTGGCCCCGGGGCGTTCCCAGATGGTACCTCTGTATGGGCATCCCACCCCCTCCCACGGTGTAAACCTGTTTATCTGCAGAGTGTGGCTGAGAGTTGAGTGCCCTGTTCACACGCCCACGGGCACTCCGAGGGCAGGGCCATGCGGTGGCATGCATTAACACTCTCCCTTGTCAGTTCCAGAGCCCCTGAGCCGCAAAAGGGTCCTTCCAGGCTGTATCAGGACCCCCGGGGAAGTTACGGCAGTGACGCGGAGGAGGAGGAGTACAGGCAGCAGCTGTCGGAGCACTCGCGGCGCGGTTACTACGGCCAGGTGGCCCGGTACCGAGACACGGAGCTGTAGCTGCCCGGGACCGGACTGCGCGCCGGCCCCCACAGCAGGGCAGCTGTCTGGCTGAGTCACGGGGCCACGGGTTGCAGGGGTCTTGCTTTTCCACTTCCAGTGTACTGTGGCGTTGTGGTGGGGAGCCTGAGGTCGTGGCCTGTCACAGGGAACCCAGGGCATAGTCCGTGCTGCCAACCAAGAACTGAAGGCTCCACTGGCGGGGCTAGGGTGGGGCCAGTTTGTCCTTTTGCTCCGAATGAAAAGAAACACAAGTCGTTTCCGTGGACCAAACTCTGCCTTCCTTCTGTTGGTGTATCTTTAACCTGCACATGACGGAATCACTCGTTTGCCTCCTGAATAGCTCCTCCCAGGACTGCCTCTGTGTGGGGCGGAGTGTGAAGAGAGGACTGAAAAAAATACAAAATGCGATGGTGATTTTATCACCACTCTCTAAGTGCCTTTGATGACACGTGACGTAAATGCTCTCCTCCCTCGTGGACTGAACGCATCATTTTGACTGCATTTTTGTACCAGTTTAACAGCTCTGGGGTTCTTTGCACTGTATTCTCGTCAACGCCTTTGTCTTTGTAATATTTCTGTAAGTTCTGACTGTGTATAATAGCTTGTATTGGGGAGTTTGACTGTAAGTGCTAAGTAGGTTAAAGACCAAGAAGTTGGGATAGAAAATATTTGTTTATTTGTACTCCCCAAAAGCAACGACTCGTGAAAAACACATTTTACTTCCCAACGTGTATGTTTTGACAAGAGTTAGTTTTATAATTTAATAAAAAGGAGTACGGTTGCAATCAGTAACGTCACTTGCCGTTTGGTGAACTAGACCCAGCGTCGGATTTTTAAGTGCCATTTTTATTTTTATTCCCGATCGTAACAGTGAGACGGGCTCATTTTGGAACATCGGCAACTGCAGAGACCTATGAGGAAGATAATAAAATTACTCATCATTGCCCAAATAAGTGTACTGCATCTCCTCCGTTTATATATGTGTGAGTGTCCTGAATTGTGCTCTTCCCTGAATATAGATGTCAACTTGGCTGGGCCCTGACTCTCAGCGGCTTGGCTGTTACCTAATGCTGTGATTTGGCACTCTCCTCCCCTCCCCTCCCGCCTTGGTGACATGAGCTGATGCGATCAGTCAGTTGTCAGGTTTAGAAAGGGGGGCAATGCTCTTACTCAGGTCACAGCCCTGATGATCTAAGGGGGGATTTCCCTGGGTTGTGGCTGCCTCACCTTTTATCTTACAAGAGATAAGAGAAAGCAGCAGAGAAAGATGGGCCCTCAGGACCACCAAGAAGAGCTTCCAGCAGAGCATGTTATCTGGACCCCAGGTCCCAGCACCGAGAGCCTCCTAGGTGTAGGGGGAAGATGATGCTGAACCGTAAGGGATGCCCGGCCCACAGATGTGAAAGAAGATGACCTTCTTTTAGAACGAGCATCTTTAATTCACCCAAAACTACAGAAGAAGAACCATCAGTTTGTTAAAGTTATCCACTCGCATTTTTTCACAACGGCACCAGAGAGCTGGTTGGCAGTGGTTAAGGAGTGGTTGGGTGGCATCGATGCTGACTGAAAGGTGAACGGCCTGGAGGTCTGTTTAGAGCCAACCATGGAAAAGGAGGGGCACCGTCTCTGATACACACAGTGTCACCATGAGTGGAAGGCGACTTGACCAGGGGTGGTGGTGACAGTGGGCTCTGGGGAAGCTACTGTCCCCCCTGCTCCGGGCCAGTCTTTGCGGAACCTGGCATCTTCCCCTATCTCAGCTTGCTCACTTGCCTAATCTTTATTTAAAAAATCATTTTACTGGGGGGCTCTTACAGATCTTACAGCAATCCATCATTCAGTTGTATTAAGCACACTTGTACATATGTTGCCGTCATCATTTCGAAAACATTTTCTTTCGACTTGAGCCCTTGGTATTAACTCCTCCCCCCGCCCCCCCAAGCCTAATCTACTTTTTACAGTTTGTAACGGATTGAAATGGGCCCCGGCAGCACAGCTTTTAAAGTGCTCAGGTCATGAATGCGAAGATTGGCTGTTGAGCCCACCCCCCACTCTGCAGGAGAAAGGTGTGATGGTCAGTTCTGTAAGGATTTGAATCATGTCTTCCTGTAACGTTGCTGCTACCAGGTAGCCTCTGCTGTGGGGCAATGGGAAGAGATCACCTCAAGACACCCTTTTGCCAATCTGGGCTCATCAACAAGCAAGACAACCCAGTCCCAGGGGAGACTGTAACTAGGGGCCTCTCAGTGCCAGCAAGTCAATTATCACTCATAGTGACCCTGTAGGATGGAATAGAACTGCCTCTGTGGCTTTCTGAGACTGTAAACCTCTACAGGAGC